TTTTTAGGTTCTAAATATTAATCAAATCCCGATCCAAAACCAGCAGGATCTTAGTTTGTTTTCCACAAACCCCCCATAATGCCTTGCGCCTAGCATTCTTCAATATATTCGTAGACCTCCCTTTCAGAGACATAGACAGGTATGGGGCATTGCAGGCTAATAAAGAAGCCAAACAACCCCCATACCAAAGGGGGGGGCCCGTTCATCCGTTTCTATTTGCATGTTTTCTAAACTAAAACCAGGCTTTGTTGGGCTGCTGGATAAAACCTGGAACTAAACGCTATTTCTGACATTTTGACATGAAAAAGCTTCCTGGATGGAAGAGAAACGTCTTCAAACTTGGAAACAAAGTCCAGTGGATTGATTTTATAATTTTTCTGGAATGATTATGACCTGGATGACTGAGAATCAGAAAAATCGGGTCATTTGATTTTAATTGGGCTGATCGTTGTGATAAATATTACGTTCATGCCCAGGTTAATAAAAGAAAATAAGGCTTAGATGTGTTTGGTTTTACAAAGACGAGGAGCGGAAATGTAAAATAAACCAAACTGACCAAACAGTCAGACAGACCACTGGCTGCAGCTGGCAGGAGGAAATCAGATAAAATAAAACCAAATGATTGAAAACTCCTTATAAGGAGCTAATGTGGTTCAGTGGTTCTCCAGGGATCAACGAGGGTTCATCTAAAGATGTTTTTAGAAACCTTTAGTTTATATCTTCAGATAGTTATTGTAAGTAGAGTAATAAGTTGTTTTGCTGTTTTATGGTTGTAATTTATGAGCATAGACTCACTGCAAAAAATGGAAATCTGTATGATTTATTTTTGCTTAAATTGAGTGAATTTTGTCTTGAATTGAGGAGATAAGTGAGACACCTCGCCAATGGAACAAGACAATTTACATTTAAAATAAGAAAAAAAACAATTGCTTTGTCTTATTTCAAGTGAATATTATTTAATTGTCTTATTCTAGGAGTAGAAATACTCATTCCATTGGCAAATCGTCTTATTTACCTACTAAAATTAAGGGTAAATGCACTTATTTTAAGAAATGTTGTACCTATTTCTAGATGGTTTTTGCAGTGTTCAAGCCTTAGGTCTAATTTTCTACCAATCAGTTTGGATCTATGAAAGTTCCTCATTATAATAAATAAGAGGCAGTAAAAGGAAAACTGAATGAGAAAAGATCTGCATGATCTCAGAATGATGCAGGAAGAGATAACCACCATCATCAATTTTTAGGTTGTTTTTACTCCAAATATTGTGGTGATTAGAATTCTAGTATTTAATCAGGGGAGATAACAACAACAATAATAATAATCATCATCATAATAATTAGAATATAGGATGAGATTAAATGTATTTGGAAGGCATTTTGATTGTATTATGTCTCTGTTTAGATTAGTGTTAGATAGATGAAAGATGAGAGGAAGAAGGTTAGAAGAGAGCAAAGGAAAATAGGAAAACTGATGGAAAGATCAGTTAAAGAGAAGGAAAAAAATCAACTTAGAAGCGTTAAAGAGAGAACAGGCAGAAGTCAGTTAGAAAGTAAAGAAGATGGAGAGGGAAGAAGACAGAGAAGACTGAAGGACCAGATGGCACTAATAATCACAATAAAATAAAAAACAATCCACTGAACTTGGTTTCCAAGTTTGAAGACGCTTCAAATTCCCTTACAGCAGTGCTTCTCCAAAAGTGCCCCACGGTTAGGTTTAACCGTAATAAAGTGTAATTGCGCATCCACTACAGTAGGCAGCAGTGGTGCTCTTATTGTTACTTCTGTCACGTTTGCGACAGTGCAACATTTTACGACTTGCAAGACAACGGCCGTTGTGGGTAACAGATTGACTCGGGGGGCCTGTGCCTTTTGATGACGTCACAATACATAATTGTTTTAACGTTTGCACAATTGCGCAAAACATTTTGATTGGTCTGGACAGCTTACTAAAGTAATTATAGCGGGGTGTGGGTTTTATTCGAAAGCGGGATTGCGGTTTGTAAACGGACAATTTTACGAAGAAATTCTCCATGGTCCCTGCGCCTTCCGATGACGTCACCGAATTCGCCATGGGCCTTGCGCCTCCCGATGACGTCACATTATGGCAACGCCACTCAAACAAACTACATTGAGCCCTCGGTCTGCATTTGTAACGAGAATAAATAGAGACCGCGGGCACAATGTAGTTTGTTTGAGTGGAGTTGCCATATAGTGATGGGCGGAGTTGCCGTATTATGACGTCATCAAAAGGCGCAGGCCCCCCGAGTCAATCTGGCAGCCCGAGTCAATCTGGTACCTACACCGTACGTGCTCGCGTTCTCGCCAAGTCCGTTCTTGGCGAGAACGCAGAAGGATCGGACTTGACGAGAACGCGAGCAAGCAAGCACGTAAGCACGTATGTGTATTGGAACAGAAGCGTACTCGTGACGTCATCACATGCAACGGTCTGCTGGTCACTCTGGTCCGCTCAACGTCTGACTTTTTTTTTTATTTCGCACTAACTCTGTAAACAGGCCACACAGGGAGGCTTCAATGTATAATGTTATCGCCTCAAACGATTTCAAAACCTACTTTTGAAGAACAACAGCAGCAGAAAAGGGAATGTTTAACTTATCACTGTGAGCGCTGTCTGGAATCAAGCTGCGGCCGCGGGGCATTCTGGGGAAGCGGTCAGTCTGAAGAACGCACAAGTCTGCTCTGATGCATGCCCGATAAAGAGGGCGAGGCGAGAACAACATCCAGGGATTTGGTGCGTTCTCGAGAATTGGAACGGTACTCGGGCTGAGGCTGATGACGTGTCACGAGCACACGAGAACACTCAAGAACGCATATTGAGAAACGGCCAACAGGTTTGCTTTGGTTAGCAGTGTTGAGTCAACAGAAAGGTCCGACTAACTTCTGTCTAAAGCCTCCGTTATTCAACATAACAATCCCCCAACATGAACATTTTTTTAACAGGGATGAAAAGAAAAGCGGAGAGAGACAAAGATAATGAGACAAAAGAAAGTCACCCAAAAGCTAAGACGAGGAAATACGACGAAGCGTATTTAGCGCAGCGAACAGCATGAAGCCAAATAAATTAGTGTGTCACTTAAATACGTTACACCCCAATCGTGCCGATAAGCCGCTAGAGTTTTTTCAGCAAAAACGTGCTGAATATTGATGCACTTAACATCTTTTCTGTTGCAGACTTAAAACTCGATTTAATACAGTTATTCTTTGTAAGTCTGACCATCTGTCTTTCTTTTTTTTCTTTTCTTTAATGTTAATAAGGATAAAATGTTATGCAGAGATGGATAGTGACGCTGGGGAGTGGGGGGCGCGAATAGTTTTCTTCTTGCTAGGGGGGGCGTAACATAAATAATTGAGAAGCACTGCCTTACAGGAACGGTTTCAATTCAAAATGTAAGAAATATAGTTGACTTTGAACTCAAGCAGTGTTCTTTGACAAACATGGATGCCTCCAGTAAAGCACATTCATATAAAAATTACTCTTAATTAAAAACACTGATCATTTATTGAACAGGATGGAATAATTTCATTTTTAAAGTACTTTCAGAAGTTTGAATTCTGAATATGAGCGACTTTTCCTTTAAAATTAAACCTTGACTTCCTCCTTTAGTGGTAAGGAACAAAATCCACTGAAAAGCCGCCCCTTCTTATAAGCTGCATGGTTCAAAGCGCAGGAAAAAGTATCGGTTTATAATCCGGAAAATACGGTATGTAAGTATTCGAATGTTTGTTCTGTTTTAGTATTTCTACAGTAAGACATTAACTACTGTCATGGACTCTTGGATGTTTTAAAAACAGACCAAGAGTTCAACAGTAAAGTAGAAGAATTTCCTGGATATGAACACAGGAGTCCAGTATAACTCCTTAGCAATAGGTGTGGTTAACCCAGGACAGCACATCAGAGGACAGTCTTCAGCGTGCGGGCGGGTGTGGTGGAAGCAGGCGGTGCAAAAGAAGAAAAAACAGCCGCCTCACTGTGCTGCAGAGCTACGCCCTCAGAGGCAACGCTTCTAGAATAAACTCAGGACAAGGATTGAGTCAGAGCAGCGGCGGGATGAAACCTCGTCGGCCGCCGGGAAGCCAGAGATGTGGCTGCCTTGTCTGAGGCGGCTTCCAACATCTCCATCTGAGACGTGTGTGGTTAGCTGCTGCCGCCGCTGCGGGACGCAGTGATGTCAGCCGTACACACAGGAACTTTCCTAAACAAAGGGAAGTCTGTGTGGTTGGAGGCAGTAGCTGTGGGGGGAGGAGGGGGGGGGGGGGCTCTCTGCTGTAACTGAGGTGAACCAGGACCCCTGTCATTAAATCATTAGCACCTTCTCAGGAACACGAGCCGCACACACACCTCTGCTTGGTGTGAAATGTCTTCATTTCCAGATGTTTCAGTGTTGCACACCAACGCACCATAAAAACACGAGGAAACGTAATTCTGTCTGAGAGCAGATGTCTGGTTTTCTGAAGCTGCTCTAAATCACCGATTCTGACTCAGACTGAAATCAGCAGCTCAGACGTGTTCAGTTCTGCTACGTCCCACTCAGATCATGGGATTATCCTGATCTATGCAGCGCAGAGGCCTGAGATCGGTTTGCTCTATGGGCTCCATCCTTTCATCATGGACCCTGGACAGTCCATCACATTCACTCTGATATAAAGTGGACAGATCACCTGATTGGTTTGGACCATTGGACCATTGCTTGTGCAAGAGAGTCTAGCTGCAGTCCTGTACTGTCAGGACCAAGACCAGCACTGCCAGGACCAAGACCGGCGCGGCCAGGACCAAGACCGGCACTGCCAGGACCAAGACCGGCAATGCCAGGACCAAGACCGGCGCAGCCAGGACCAAGACCAGCACTGCCAGGACCAAGACCGGCGCAGCTAGGACCGAGACCGGCACGGCCAGGACCAAGACTGGCGCAGCTAGGACAAAGACCGGCGCAGCCAGGACCAAGACCGGCGCAGCCAGGACCAAGACCGGCACTGCCAGGACCAAGACTGGCGCAGCTAGGACCGAGACCGGCACGACCAGGACCAAGACTGGCGCAGCTAGGACCAAGACCGGTGCAGCTAGGACCAAGACCGGCAATGCCAGGACCAAGACCGGCGCAGCCTGGACCAAGACCGGCAATGCCAGGACCAAGACCGGCGCAGCCAGGACCAAGACCGGCACTGCCAGGACCAAGACCGGCAATGCCAGGACCAAGACCGGCAATGCCAGGACCAAGACCGGCACTGCCAGGACCAAGACCGGCGAAGCCAGGACCAAGACCGGCAATGCCAGGACCAAGACCGGCGCAGCAAGGACCAAGACCGGCAATGCCAGGACCAAGACCGGCACTGCCAGGACCAAGACCGGCACTGCCAGGACCAAGACCGGCACTGCCAGGACCAAGACAGGCGCAGCCAGGACCAAGACCGGCACTGCCAGGACCAAGACCGGCACTGCCAGGACCAAGACCGGCGCAGCCAGGACCAAGACCGGCAATGCCAGGACCAAGACCGGCGCAGCCAGGACCAAGACCGGCACTGCCAGGACCAAGACCGTCGCTGTCAGTATCCACACCTGCAATCTCAGGACCAAGGCCAGAGCTGCCAGTACCAAGACCGCCACTGCAAGGACCAAGACCGGCACTGCCAGGACCAAGACCGGCGCGGCCAGGACCAAGACCGGCGCGGCCAGGACCAAGACCGGCACTGCCAGGACCAAGACCGGCACTGTCAGGACCCTTTGTTGCAGAGCTGCAAACTAGGGTGTCCTTAACTGTCAGGATCGGAAGTTTATTCCGGAAGTTGCAGATGAAATCCAATCCAAATACAGAGACTTATTTCTATGTAGCACATATCTATTATTCCAGATAGGAGTTTGTTGGGGTGTAAAATTGTGCATGTACAGAAGTTTCCAGCATTACGTCACTTGTTTGTGAAAGGAAGCTAGCTTCAGGGCGAGTTTATTAACGCTAGCTTTAACTTTAGAAAGGCTTCCACTCAACTTTGCTTTTACTTTGAAAGGCTTCGAGTAAATTTCCATACATTTTGCATAAATGCTAAAAAAAATACTCTAAAAAGTCTTTTTAAGTTGAGTAGTTTAAAAAAAAATTTTAAAGGCTTTTTTAAAAATTATTTCCTTTTTGAAAAGTGTTCTTTGCTTTCGAGAATATTGGAACAAAATTCTCTCCATATAGTGGATCTAGTGGGTTGTAGCTTAAATTTGCAAACATAAAAAAGACTTAAAAACCAGGCTGACTTTTTTTTAATGTTGGTTATTTTCTTATTTTCTACAAATTTAATCAAAAATCAAAAAAGGTTGGTGTTGAAGGTAAGCACATCTTTGTTATTAAAGTTTATTGATCGGTCAGAAATCCGTGGTTAGAGTTTCCTTGGTTGGATTGTAGAGGATTCGTTTTATCAGAGCTGAATTTAAAAAATTAACAAAATAATTATCCCATTTATAGTTTGAATTGAATATAACCTGATGGAATAAAGATGGCTGCCTGAGGAAGCAGTCAGACTAAAACAGGCTCCAGTATTTGTGATTCTCTCTCAGCTGTTTACCTAAAAAATCCCGACGCAGTATTTTCATCTTGCTGTTTAATTAGCGCCTGTCTGCAAAGCAGCACAGCTTGTTTGGAATGTCATAAACACTTTCTCAAACCCGGAGGAAGAGGAGAGTTATCGAACATGAAACCTTTCTGCTGGGTTCTCTACAGGCCCGCCCCCTCCCTTTTCACAGCATTTATTTATTCACAACCTGAGGTAATACTGTGGGGGGAGCAGATGGGTTTATAGCAAAACCATCTGCAGACGTCCACGTTTGTCTTTCTGCAGACTGGCCCAGCGAAGCCTGTTGTGGTTAGAGATCATGACTAAGCTCATACTGGCCGTGCTACATTACTCCGTCTGCTCCGCACTCAGGGACATAATGGAAAAATCTGAGTCACCCTCGTCTGGACAGGAACCGGCTGAGTGGACGCGTCTGTTTAATGGCAGAGCGTTGGTACTCCATTCAGAAATGCAACATCTCCACCAGGCAGGAGGGGTTAGGCGGTGAGGTGAGACGTGACGCAGTGGAGAGCAGAGGTGAAACGGAGCCTGATGGCTGCACCATGTGTTGGCCTCATCGTTACAGGAAACTAAACAGTCTGGTTTTGTGGTTCTGACCCATAAGGAGAACTTTATTGTGCAACTCTGAAACATTTCATCCAAAGTACTCAGAAAGCAGGAAGCAACATACAGTAGCAGCCATTCAGGATGGCCTTTCCCAGTCAAACGGCAGCTGAATGGAAGCCCACGTCCCTCAAACTCCCATCGAAATCCCCTCCAACTGCCAGCCACTGGAGTGACCCCCTCCTGCATATCTTTTTACTCTGACTCCACCTTTTCACTGAATTACAGAGTCTGACCAGAAAATTATGCTTCTCTTTAGATCTTAATGTCCACACATCATGACAGAAAGAATATTTTAGTACACAGATTGATGTTTAAAAAGGAATTGTAGCGGACCAGCCACGGACCAGCCAAGTACCAGCCCAGGTCCAGCCAAGGACCAGACAAGGACCAGACAAGGTCCCGCCAAGGACCAGCCAAGGTCCAGCCAAGGTCCAGCCAAGGTCTCGCCAAGGTCCAGCCAAGGACCAGACAAGGACCAGACAAGGTCCCGCCAAGGACCAGTCAAGGTCCAGCCTAGGTTCAGCCAAGGTCCAGCCAACGATCAGCCAAGGATCATCAAGGACCAGCCGAGGTCCAGCCAAGTACCAGACAAGGACCAGCCAAGGTCCAGCCAACGATCAGCCAAGAATCAACCAAGGATCATCAAGGACCAGCCATGATCCAGCCAAGGACCAGCCAAGGTCCAGCCAAGGACCAGCCAAGGTCCAGCATAGGATAAGCCAAGGTCCAGCCAAGGTCCAGCCATGATCCAGCCAAGGATCAGCCAAGGACCGGCCAAGGTCCAGCCAAGGACCAGCCAAGGTCCAGCATAGGATCAGCCAAGGTCCGGCCTAGGATCAGCCATGATCCAGCCAAGGACCAGCCAAGGTCCAGCATAGGATCAGCCAAGGTCCGGCCTAGGATCAGCCATGATCCAGCCAAGGACCAGCCAAGGTCCAGCATAGGATCAGCCAAGGTCCGGCCTAGGATCAGCCATGATCCAGCCAAGGACCAGCCAAGATCCGGCCTAGGATCAGCCAAGGTCCAGCCAAGGTCCAGCATAGGATCAGCCAAGGTCCGGCCTAGGATCAGCCATGATCCAGCCAAGGACCAGCCAAGGTCCAGCATAGGATCAGCCAAGGTCCGGCCTAGGATCAGCCATGATCCAGCCAAGGACCAGCCAAGGTCCAGCATAGGATCAGCCAAGGTCCAGCCAACGATCAGCCAAGGATCATCAAGGACCAGCCGAGGTCCAGCCAAGTACCAGACAAGGACCAGCCAAGGTCCAACCAACGATCAGCCAAGAATCAACCAAGGATCATCAAGGACCAGCCATGATCCAGCCAACGACCAGCCAAGGTCCAGCCAAGGACCAGCCAAGGTCCAGCATAGGATAAGCCAAGGTCCAGCCAAGGTCCAGCCATGATCCAGCCAAGGATCAGCCAAGGACCGGCCAAGGTCCAGCCAAGGACCAGCCAAGGTCCAGCATAGGATCAGCCAAGGTCTGGCCTAGGATCAGCCATGATCCAGCCAAGGACCAGCCAAGGTCCAGCATAAGATCAGCCAAGGTCCGGCCTAGGATCAGCCATGATCCAGCCAAGGACCAGCCAAGATCCGGCCTAGGATCAGCCAAGGTCCAGCCAAGGTCCAGCATAGGATCAGCCAAGGTCCGGCCTAGGATCAGCCATGATCCAGCCATGGACCAGCCAAGGTCCAGCATATGATCAGCCAAGGTCCGGCCTAGGATCAGCCATGATCCAGCCAAGGTCCAGCATAGGATCAGCCAAGGTCCGGCCTAGGATCAGCCATGATCCAGCCAAGGACCAGTCAAGGATCAACCAAGGGCCCATCAAGGAAATTATGGAAACTTTGAATGGCTTCTTCTGTAACAGAGAAGCTGATGAATAAAGACGTAAAGCTTGAGTTTGCCCACCTGGACGACTGGGTGCCCTCCTGCCAGCGCCTTCACTGCACCCCTGCTGCCCTCCGTCTCGTAGTGGGCTCGGTGGTGCGACTTGGGTTGCACTTCGATCTGCAGGCTGTACGGCCTCGAGGTGGATGGGAGCTGCCAGTCCAGAGCCGGCAGAGACGGGCTGAAAACAAGTCCAACATGAGTGGCTATAGTCGTGTTTGAATGTGCAGAAAGCAATACCTCAGTAAGGACACATAAAGATGAACCTAAAGGTTTTTGGTCTGTTTGATATAAAAAGCGCTCCACATGAACAGACGCAGCAGCCTGCCTTCCTTACCTGATGAACTGCTTGGGCTTTGTCCAGGTGTAAGGCGGCTGAGGAACATCCAGGAAACTTCCGCAGTAACCGTCCTTCTTCAGGGCCGCTCGGTTGGCAGAAAGCTCATCGTGACCGAGGTCTCCATGGCGCAGCTCTCCGCCTCCCGGCTCTAGCTTCAGGCTGACCGTAGGGCTGTGGTCCAGGCTGGTTTTTCGTGCCTTTATGGGGATTCCCTCGCCAATGTCGGACACGCCGTCGGTGGTGAGGGCATTGATGGCTGCCAGGATGGCAGAGTTGGTGTACTGGTTGGTGTTGGGCAGCCAGCTTTCCTCCGTCACACTGAGACGAGGCGAGGCGTGAGGGGACGGGCCTGGGGAGTGGGCGGGTGAGTATGGGAAGCTCTTGTGCGACGCTTCGCTGCCGTTCAGGCTGTACTTCCTCTTGGCTCCACAAGGGGAGTTGGGCCTGGAACCTCGAGGCCCCATCCAGGTGTCGTCTGTTACACTCGTACGGGGGGAGGCGGAGGGTGAGTGACGAGGAGAGCCGCAGGAGGCGCCCCCCTCACCCGGCAGGGCGAGGGTGGAGCCCTTTGGGGAGACGGAGGGTGACTGCCAGGGGGAGTTCTGGGGTGAGTTGTCGTAGTTGTAGGAGAAGCTGGACTCGTAGGAGGCGTCTGAGAGGCCGCTGCGTGACGACACGCTGCTAGCTGGACTCAGGCAGCTGGGGTCACGGTAACCGTCAGCATTGGGGAGGGACAGCGTCACTATGGAGTTGACCCGCTTGGCAACTGGAAGGCTGCTCTCCTGCACCTCATCCTCAGGAAATTGACTGTAGGCGGTGATTTCAATGCGGGGGCTCTCCAGAGCCGGGGCCCCGTTTGGACGGACGGTCGAATAGAACCCGGACGCTCTCAAGTCGTCCTGCGAGTCAAAAGCTTGAGGCTCAGTGACGGAGACTGATATGGTGGGGCTGGACTGGAGGCCTTGGTACTGGGAGGGGAGGCAAGGGTTGCCCAGTGGGAGGGAGAGGCTGATGTTTGGCGTGAAGCCATACGCATCTGGAAGGAAAACAAAGGTTGTTATGCAACAGTCAGGGAGTCTGCCAGCCTCGACAACTGTTGCTAACATTCATGCAGTATTCTTTGCACACAGAAGGGGGCAGCACACTACAAAACCAGAAGAGAAACAAGCATAACTTCACAACACAGACCAAAAATGGCTGCCGTTAGAGACTAAAACAGTGCCGCTAACGTCCCTTTGAATTTCGCTACAAGCCCTGAGAGGCCGATGCAGTCAAAGAAGAAAGGAATACGTCTAATTATGTCACTCGTTGTTGAATCCCGGTCAATGTGTTTAATATTCAGTTTAAAACACGGCTTTACCCAATCAGAGGCGATGGCCAGACATCAGCACCAGCTGTGTCCTTTTTATAGCTTCAATTACCTGCCTGACTCTGTTAGTGAATCTATTCCAACCTAATTGGTTTGTTGGAGAACATCGGAGAACCACCAGCTTCATGAAGACCAAGGAACCCAGAACATCCCGGTTCAGGTTCTGGAACAATCTCTTGAACTTTGCCTTGTTCAGTCCAACACATGTAGAAAGAACGGACACCCTGCAGTCCTGCCAAAACTTGGAAACCACCTGGACTGACAGGCTGGATGCAGTGAACCAGGGTAACTCTGGAGGAGCTGCAGAGAACCACAGCTCAGGTGGGGCAGAGCTGTTGGTCTCACCTAACAGCTCTGGCCTTTCAGGAGGAGAATGAATGGGGAGCGCTGATCTAGTGCAGGCGTCCCCTGAGTCGGTCCTGGAGGGCCGCTGTCCTGCAGGTTTTATAGGTTTCCCTGCTTCAGCACAGCTGATTATGATGATTGCAGTTCAGCAAAAGCCTGTTAATCAGTTTCAATTACAATTACAGGACCGACTTTGGGGATTCCTGGCCTAGTGGTCAGAGCAGCGCTCTGTGCTCTGAGAAGGTTACAGTACCCGGTTCAATCCCCACAGTCTGCCACTCTGGGTCCCTGAGCAAGACCCTTAACCCCACACTGCTCCTCGGGCGCCGCACAATGGCAGCCCACTGCTCCCCAAGGGGAAGGGTTAAATGCACAGAGGGAATTTCTCCAGTTAGAGATCAATAAAGTTCAATTTCTTTCCTTCTTTTCTGAATGTTACAAGCAGAGGTGCCAATGTACAAAGTACTGGTTACATTAAATAAAATGTTGACTATCTAAACTTTACTGCAGTAATTATTTTTTGAGACAACTTTTTACTTTCTACTCCTTTCATTTTAATAATAGTTTTATTTAATTTAAGCTCGGCATTTAAACAATAAATAAGAAATACCATCAAAATAATTAGTTTCATCCAGACGATTGATTTCTTTGTGGTTGGACTCGGTGCTGCCCCAACTTGTTGCTCACCACATACCAAAATAAATAGTTTTGCAAGATGATGCAAAGTTAAATGTTAATCTGTTACCATTAGTTATTAGAAAGAAAATGAAGTCTAAGGAAGTTATCATCCAGAATTGTAGAAAAATGTCCCTTTAATAGGGTACGGCAGTTAAGCTTCTGTTCTTAAAAGTTTTTTCCTACATTACTTTTATTTTTATACTTTAAATAGTTTTAGAAATGGTACTTTTACATTTTTACTGGAGTAAAAAGCTTAACTTCTACAAAAGGCTTTTTAAACAGCAGGATTTATCCTGGAGCTTCTGAACTTCACAGTCATCTACCTCAACAGTGAAACATGGTGGTGGCAGCATCATGCTGCGCTTCAATTCAATTCTATTCAGTTTATTTCTATAGCTCCAATTCCCATCATGTCATCTCAGGTCACTTTCCAGTTCACCAGATCATCCAGTCAGATTGATTCAAAGTTTTCTTTCTAGGGAAAACCAGCTGATTGCATCGACTCATTGACTCTTCAGCAATCCCTCACACTAAGCATGCTTGTAGCGACAGTGGAGAGGAAAAACTCCCTTTGAACAGGAAGAAACCTCCAGCAGAACCAGGCTCAGTGTGAGCGGCCATCATCCCTTCTGCACACAGACCTGGTTCCTATAGGAGCAGAATAAATAAACTGGTCCGTTCCAGTGCAAAGGTTTGGAACCAGAACCCCTCCCTGGATCCAGAACTTCTTGCTTCTCAGGTTTGATCCTCAAACCTTCTGAGAGGCTGAGATCACTCAAATCAGACCAAACAGCAGAGCCCAGAATAACCACAGACTAAATATACCCACAGGAAACACCAGGTAGTGTTTTGTTTCCACGGCACGTGGCCAGCTTTCTCCCGCTGGATCCTCGCTGTGCTCATAAACTCCCCAGAAGTGAAGCTTTTGTTGGCCGGCTCCACACAGCAGAGACAGGATGCTGTTTATTTGCACTCATCTGGGGAGTCAGCTCCTGTCTACTGGGAAGACTGGGACATCATGTCCCGCCTCGGATCCAGACAGAAACCTGATATCAGCCACACACAGGCGGACTCATCAGGTCCGGTTCTGCACTGCTCTCAGCAGAACTCTGCGGACCCCGCCCACTGAGCAGGAGGAGCAGGAGGAGCAGCAGCAGGAGCAGCAGGAGGAGGAGCAGCTGTAGGAGGAGCAGGAGGAGCAGCAGGAGGAGGAGCAGGAGGAGCAGGAGGAGGAGCAGCAGGAGGAGCAGGAGGAGCAGCAGCAGGAGCAGCAGGAGGAGGAGCAGCTGTAGGAGGAGCAGGAGGAGGAGCAGCTGTAGGAGGAGCAGGAGGAGCAGCAGGAGGAGGAGCAGGAGGAGCAGCACAGGAGGAGCAGCAGGAGGAGCAGGAGGAGCAGCAGCAGGAGCAGCAGGAGGAGGAGCAGCTGTAGGAGGAGCAGGAGGAGCAGGAGGAGCAGCAGGAGGAGGAGCAGCTGTAGGAGGAGCAGGAGGAGGAGCAGGAGGAGCAGCAGCAGGAGCAGCAGCAGGAGGAGCAGCAGGAGGAGGAGCAGGAGGAGCAGCAGGAGGAGGAGCAGGAGGAGCAGCACAGGAGGAGCAGCAGGAGGAGGAGCAGGAGGAGCAGCACAGGAGGAGCAGCAGGAGGAGCAGCAGCAGGAGGAGCAGCAGGAGGAGCAGCACAGGAGGAGCAGCAGGAGCAGCAGCAGGAGGAGCAGCAGGAGGAGGAGCAGGAGGAGCAGCAGGAGGAGGAGCAGGAGGAGCAGCACAGGAGGAGCAGCAGGAGGAGCAGCAGCAGGAGGAGCAGCAGGAGGAGCAGAGGCTCCTCAGCAGCGGGTTCACCTCAGGCTGCAAGCAAGAAGAACCCAGAACAGAAACCCGGACCGGTTCTAAAGAGTCCCGAACAGAGACCGGAAGTCCAGGATGAATAAACTCACCTTCTTCTGCAGATTTCATCCTCTCCTCTGAGGAGAAGCTTACAGTGGGAGCTCAGCGGTGGGACCTCTGCTCCATAAATGTCCTCCAGCCGCAGCAGGTCCTCCTTCCTCCAAACTTTAAACTCACAGTTTCTGATCCAAGTCAGGAAAAAAAGAAACCCAGAACGGAACCGAGGCAGCGGACCGGTCCAAGCAGGAGAACGGGGCTCTCCTTCACCGAGCAGGGGGATCCTGACTCCGTGGTTCGCTGTGACGCACTGAGAGACTCCTGCGCTTATAAACGCGGGGATAGCCCCGGCGCGTGGCGCGCCGCCCTCCGCGCTCTGACGCACCGCTTTGGACGAGCGTCCAGCAAACACCACAGAGGCGTAGCCAGAAAAGTTTTAGAAGGGTGGCCACTGGGCAGGCAAGAACCACTGAGGGGTGGCCGAAAGTCAGGGGCGGATTTAGGAAATGTGGGGCCCTAGGCAAAGACAGGCAGGGGGCCCTCTGAATGGAGAAGACAACACATCAAACAGCCCCATTCTACAGATAGAGAAATGTTAATAGAATAGACATGCATTATCTGTTCTAGGTTGTGTCCCTTTTCTTCTTGTTTTCCTCTCTATGGCTCTGTTCGAATTAATGGCTGCATCCTCCAAGGACGCAGTCTACCTGGACTGGATCCTTTGAAGTCTGTGAAAATAGGGAGACCGGAAGAGTTTTGGCTGTAAATTCGAACAGCTCTACCCTTTGGCGGGTTTTACCGCCGTATGCTCTGTTGCTTAGCAACCGTGACAGTGACACACAAAGCAGGAAAAGAATGAATACCAAAGTTTTCAAAACTGTTTGTTTATTTATTTATTTTTTATTATAAAGTGAACAAAGACTACATTAACAGGAATCCAGAGTGGAATAAATGTTCCAACCAGCAGAGCAGGAACAGATAAATCAGTTAAATAACCTGCTGCTGTCATTCTGCACATCTCTGATGTTGCTGCTATTTTCAAATATCCATTACTGTAAAAATGTCCATAGCTGCATATTGGTTATTTATTCTCCAGTTTTATATTGTTAAAACACTTTACAGGATTTTATTGTTTATATTTTAACTCTTCCCTATTATGTTATTCTTATACATTTTTCTAAGGTCCACATTTTTGTTACCATTTCAATAATCTTTCTGCTGCTGTAAATTTGCCCATTGTGGGACAATAAAGAGATTTTTTTATTCTATTCTATAAAAGGGGTAGAAAGATATAAGTAAATCTAAACAATGTATGTATGAAAATATTTCTGCAAAATCTTTAAAATTCAACAACAAAAAGTACTTAGTGAAGCACATTGTGCAAAACAGCAATAAAAAATTAAACTCCTATCAGATTTATAGTCCCCACACTGCAGAAATATTAGAATCTGTCCTTAAATTCCAGCCAAACCCATTTATACAGTAACAGATAAAAACCTTTAGATGAATCAAACATTACCGCCACATATCTGACTCTATAACCATTTTAGACGGAACTATTCAAACACTTGAGTTATATTAAACTGAACTTCTAATTTTCACCACTGTTCGACACCAAGTAACCTTTCCTCTGATCACGGCTTGCTTGGTCTCGCAATGAATCCTGGGATATCCAAGGCTAGAGAAGATACATCAAACCCGTCCTTCAAATCAGGCAAAAAGAAGGAGGGATTTTAAGGCCGCATAACGAGGAGTCTTGGAATCCGACCAGACCTTGGCGCCGTGCTATGACGTAATCGGCCTTCTAAGGACGCAGCCCATGAATTCGAACAGAGCATATGTTTTGTACTTAGCTGACAATCTACTTGCTCTAGAGAGCAATTCTATTCAGTTTATTTCTACAGCTCCAATTCCCATCATGTCATCTCAGGTCACTTTCCAGTTCACCAGATCATCCAGTCAGATTGATTCAAAGTTTTCTTTCTAAGGAAAACCAGCTGATTGCATCGACTCATTGACTCTTCAGCAATCCCTCACACTAAGCATGCTTGTAGCGACAGTGGAGAGGAAAAACTCCCTTTGAACAGGAAGAAACCTCCAGCAGAACCATCATAACTATAGAGATAGCTCAGGATAACCTGAGCCACTCTAACTATAAGCTTTATCAAAAAGGAAAGTTTTAAGCCTAGCCTTAAAAGTAGACAGGGTGTCTGCCTCACGGACTAAAACTGGTAGTTGGTTCCACAGGAGAGGAGCCTGAGAACTAATAATGAATCACTGTTCCGCTGCATAATCCATTAAACTGCTGGTCTGATCTTCACAGCAGGTGTTTCAGCCAGCAGCAGCTCCAAGCATCTGACTGTTCTTCCACTCAGTCATTCCAGCTGGAATGGTCCTCTGGGTCCTGATATAGAGAGCGTTATTCCGTGCATGCGAGGATCTCCGGTTCTGCTTTGGGCTGCTGACGCTCCGCTCAAACGGAACCGTTTCTATCCTGGGGCCACGCTTTCTGTGATGATGACGGTCACATGGAGGCTGGCAAGTTTATTCCATTATTGCTGCAAATAACAAACATGATTGGAAATGGAAATAAAAACCAAAAAAAAAGATAACAAAGGTAAAAAAATGTAAGTTTGAGAAACTTAATGGACAAAAGTTTTTGAGTAACTTTGTTGTCTCCCTCATTTTTATTTTTTTTTTTAACATTTTTTATATTTCATTTTTTCAACTTTTTTTCGAATGGAAATAAACTTATCCCAGACTCAGTGATTGTGACAGTCTGATTCTGTCTGATCAATAAAAAAACGTGTTAATTTTAACCTGGAACTGATGGTCCTCGGAGAAGCCAAGATTTTTTTTAACCAGTACAGAAGAACAAACTATGTTTTCTCAAGCTAGTGAGAAAACATAGAAGCATATTATTACTTTGGTTAACCTTATAATCTGTTGCCGTTTTAGCTGAAAACGTTCCGTATGTTCAATGAACAGATTTTTCTGTGGCATCTCTAATTTTTTTAACCAACTCGTCTCCTAACTTTTACTTAAACATGAAAGCAGCTGCTGGTTAATATTCACTGAGTGCTGCTGTGTCTCTTCCTCCGACCACGTAGCGACTCTGTATGCAGTGAAATGCGACCGCAAATGAGATGTCTCAAAGTGACAGATCCGATGATGTCACACCTAGAGGCGTGAGAGGAAAAAAAAACACTCTGAACACAGATAGCTGCACTAAACCTCTGTTAGCTTTGGCTAATGTAAATGAGCGGAAAGGGGGGGGGGGGGCTAAAATTGTTGGTGTCCCCTCCAGTCTCGTCTGTACGTTGATTATTCCTCGCTGAACAGACTTTTCCTTTAACCAGGAAGCATGAAGAAAATTGTGTCTCAAACTAGAACTTTGAAAAGCTTTCCATAATAATAAAAAAAAGGTTTTAGGAGTTATTTTATATGACAAATTGAAAATATTGGGTAAAATTTTGCATAAAATTCAATAGGGGGTTTTCAGGTGACGTCACGCTCACCTGACTACTCAGCGCGTCCGCAATATTGGGTGGCAGCCTTAGGCAGTATTGACAGTGAAAAATGGTGAAAACGTGTGTAATTGTTGGTTGCACGGCCCGTGGAGGTGGAGATCAACGCTCTTTCTATCGCATACCAGCCGTAATCGTGAATCAATGTGAAAAAACAAAACAGCTATCTGAACAACGCCGTCACCTATGGCTGACACGGATATCCAGGTCCGATTTGGACGGTGTTAAGCTGGAACACGCCAGAGTCTGCAGTGCTCACTTTGTCACAGGTAATTAACTGTCAAGCATTTAAAACATGTAAGAATATATTAATAATAGGGCTTGGGCGTCATGAAGTATTACTTTCCGTGGCCGCAATGTTGACCGCCTCCGCCGCCGCTACTCAGACTACTGCCTATGACCACCGCGTACTGGACTCCCTCTCTCAGCCGTGTTTTAATTTGATTAATATCACCTTAACTTGATTTCAACCAGCGGGAAAAGGCTCAAATATGTGAGAAACCCGGAGGGTTTAGGGAGGTTTGGCAGTTAACGTTACTAACCAAACCTTTGAAAAACATAGCAGCTAGTTAAAAGTACATTACATGCCTGAGTGGTTGTTAGCACTAACGGTTAGCACTGTTTGCTGGCTTTATGAGCTGCAGCTCCTGAACCCATCCATTCGTAAACTGCACATGAGACTCCAAGGACTTGTAGCTTTGGAACTGTTCGCGCACCGCCGGCCGTTAGCCACCTAGCATAGCGAGCCCTGCGTCGGATTGTTTACATTTTTACCATCTTATTAAAACTCAACCGTCCACGTATGATGGCGATTTCCTTCATGTACATCACTTCGACATCTCGTACCCAACCAGATGTGAACTGGTTGTGAGCCTCTAGACCCTTGTACGCTCTCATTCCCTCCAGAGTGTGCAGAGGGTTTTCACTGAACACCGGGTAATGAACTATGTTACCGTGCTCTACATTTGGCCAATCACTGGATTAGTGCTAAACAAGGCACCATGGAGGGCATAGGGGTCCATATGGTCGATCACGGAACATTTCCTCAGATATGTTCCATGATCTGGTGGCTCTAGCGTGCTGGCGTACTAATCCACCCGCAACATGATATATTTGATATACGATAATATGCCACCCAAGATGGCGGACCGGGAGCTGGCCAGTGACGTCACTGAAAACCCCCTATTAGGCTGAAAATCTTTTTTCACTTTAAACATGTTCTTTGTTTGCAATAATTTTGGATCAAATTTCTCTCCATAGGTTAAACCCATAACCCTGTCAGACTCCGTAGGTTAGAGCATGAAACGGGCCTTGAAAGTCAGCCCGAAACCGACCCGAGTCCGAAAGAACCAGGCCCGTGCCCGGCCCGGCCCGTTATGATTGACAGCTTCGTAGAGCCCGACCCGTTTGCAGCCCGACATTTTTCAATTGTGCGCATTAAGGGCTAATCTCCGTTTCACTTCTGTAACATCCATTTTGCATTCATTTGCATTCATCGCGTATAGATCGAACGTTATCACATGATCATTTATTTGCCGCGCATATAACGGTTTAAAGCCCGAGCCCGGCCCGGCCCGAATGAAATAATAAAAAGTACAGCCTGAACCCGGCAGGACCTCTCGGGTCCCGTCGGGTTCGGGCTAATATTCCCTGCTCTACCGTAGGTCTCAGCAGGTATGGCTCCCACTTTAACCCATTGGGGAAGCTATACTGGGACCAGTATACACGCATTCTGGAGGATGTCTTCCATCCCTCACCCTCCTGTTTTTATTTTTTAGGCCTTATTAGTTTGTTGCAATGAGACCATCTCTTGATCCAGGCTTGTGTAACAGCTCAGC